AATTCGTTGCCAACGCTTTTAAAAGTCGATTTTTATCGATTTTATCGATTCGTTGTTGCAGCCCTAGTTTCTATTATTGACAGAAGGCGGCAACATCAACGGCTTAAACTTAAAGAAAAGATCCTGGGTGACTAATGTGATGCTAGTTTGAACATTAAAGGATTCTTTAAATAACTTATTTGTGTTTCTAATGTTTTTTATTTGTTTGTTTGGGGTGTTAACTTTTTCAGTTTGTATTTAAAGCTTAATTCAAATAGAGAAAAACACAAAACTAAACAGATGTGGAAAACCCCCATTAAAAAATGCTCCTTATGTTTACAAGAACAGATAATTAACCCTCTACATCATTTATTTTATTTTTTTTAATGTTCCAAATTTTTATGGAATTTCTGATTCATGTGGACTGGTACTGATTGGCTTTACAGCAGTTAAACCCTTCTTATTATTGCTGATCAGCTATTTGGATGTCTCTGCCAGTATTTTTGGAAAGGGATCGTTGGCCAAGTCTTTGAGCTTTGGAAGACCTCATTCCCATCACCCTAATTTTTCAAATTCCCTGTTGGATTCAAGTCAGATTAATATTACTCCCAGCCATAGAGAGTGATTATATGTTACAATATGTTATAATTCTGCCAATTTATCAAAAATCTTGCAGATGTTGGCAAAGATAAAAGGAGATTTTCACTGTTCCCACATACTTTTAAAGAAGCACAACTAATAGCTAAGTGAATCTCCTCATAGCCGTGATCATGGTGTACTTTTCCACAGCAGATCTGCATTATCGCCTGAGTAAACTACACACAGGCCCTTTTTTAGCGTCGTTTGTCTGATAACGAGTTTAGACATGCAAATACAGGATACAAATTGTAATGTTCCCCCAATATGCTCCGTTTAACAGGCTAATAGAGATGGCCTGAATGCTGCCGCCTCTTTCTTTCCTACTCTGGTTTTAGTTTTGAGGAGAAAGTTGATCCTACCCCCCCGGCCCCTTTTCCTGCTGGGATTAAGGGCCTGTCAGACATATGTGATCCAGGAAATACCTTTACTAGGCCCAAGTGAGGTCACCATAGCAACTGGCACTAGAACCTGCCACTGCAGGCCCCGCTTTTACTCGCTCCTGTGCACATGCTCACTGGCCTGCTCTCCTCGTTCCCTCTTCCCCTGTATTGTTTGAAGTCCTTTGTTGTCATGGTGGGAGGGATTAGCCGGGGCTGCGGATGTTTCCCTCATGTTGTTCTGTATACATGTGCTCTCTGGATCTGATCGGGGAGGAAGTGTCGAAGAAAAGTCACACAATGTACTTTGAAAAAGGTTTAGAGAAATCCCGTGCTTGAGAGATTGTTTACCAGTGTAGTATCTGATTGTTTGTGATGATTCTGAATGGGCTGTGGAGGTAATGGGTAAAAAGGATGTACTTTAGTGCTGCCTTAGGGTGCCTTAGAAATCCACAAAGCTTGAGGCTGAGCTTTGTGAAGAGGAGAGACGCAAGTTTCTACCAACAAACTTGGTTAATGTTAATAATGACTTTTTAGCTGGGTTTTTTTTTTTTTTTTTGTTAAGGTAAATGATACTTTTTGGGAGTTGTTTGGTTCAGAGTATGTTCTAGATAAATAAGTATCATCCTAAAGCAAGAATTGGTCAGCAATGCTCTTCACCTTCATTACAAGACAAACAGCGCAGTGATGGACAACGTGTCGGTATAATTGGGTTATTCCTCCTTCTAGCGGTTGCTTGGTCATTTAGAACCAGGGGGGCTCAGGTGTCTCTCTCGGTGACATATCTCCTCGTTTCATTCCCGTAATCAAATTACTCCTCCCTTTTCTGAGGAGCTTCTCTCTCTTTTTTTTTTTTTGCCTGAAAATGAAGCCTTGACCAACTCGATATTTTTATAGTAATGTTGGCAACTTGCACAGAAGAGGTAAATGGATGTAAAGTGTTTTACGATGCAGTTTGAATATAGAAGACCTGCTTCATTTATTGTACAGTGAAGGTAAAGCCTCAAAGTTTTTAGTTTTTAATTGTTTGCCTAAAGAGGTTTTCTACTCCTCTTATTTAGCATTGCATACAGTTGACGAGCCTTACACTGAATTTACATGAAGCTCTGATGTCCTTTAAAGATCATTCTTAGATTATACAATAAAAGCCAATGGTGGTAAAACCAAAACATGTTATTCTGTGGATTTTAAAACTGATAAAACATTCACATATTTTCACTTTTTATATCCTACAATTAGAGATACACTGAGTCAGGGCTGCAATTAACCATTATTTTACAAATCTATTTTTTTTTAACTTATTATACCAGGCGAAACAAAAACTTTTCCACATGAGGAGTTCTTGATAGAGCCTATTGACATTTTTTTTTTTTTATCTTAAAAGCAAAACTTTTATATATTTCTTTTAATATTTTGTTTTGATATAATCTTTGCTCTAAGTGGGTTCCTCTCTCAGCCAAAGGCGTGTTTTAGAGTCTCTACACTCCAGTTAACGATTAATCGATTACTAAATTAGTTGACGATTAATTCAATAATCAATTAATCACAATAATCGAATTGTTTCAGCCCTGCGCTGAATGCAGATAAAGCTATATTTCATGATTGTTTTCAGCATAATTTCAAGAATCGCTTCTTTTCAATCCGATCTATATTACCTGAATTAAATGACTAACGCTATGCATCATATTGATGCTACTATTATACATTTAGCAGCAAATTAATAGTAGATAATGATTTTTTTGAAATTTGATCTTTGGGTATATGAAACGATCTTTAGGAGTTGATATTGGAATCAATTCAAAGCTTGAACATCTTTTTTTTGTTTTTTTTTTATTAATGCAGTCCCGTTATTTATTTGGTTGTTTGCTTATATATATATATATATATATATATATATATATATATATATCTCAGTAAACAATGTAATAAAGTCTTTAAAGGTATTTTGGGAAAAAAATGCGTGTGCATGAGCATGCACGGACCCATTTCTTCTTGTGCACGCTCTTAAAATGTGCTATTCAAAAGCTCATACAAGCTCACTGTGTCCTCATACAGAAGCGACTATATAGTGGACTTTATAGCAAACTTAGTTAACTGCCCCGTTGATCACGTAGCTCCTCCTTCACTGTGCGGTGCCTCTTTATTTTTATTAGTCTCCGCAATCGGCTGGCGACAGCCTATGGCGACAGTGGGCCGCTGTGACAGTCCCGTAATGCTTTGCGAGGAGAGCTCTACACCCAAAGCATTCTAGGATATATCTGTATCTTCAGTGGTCTTTCTTTTCCTCTGATGACACTTCTTTCTCTTACCACCCTCAGCCATTTTCAAAGAACCTCGGAGAGAAAGTTAAACTTCAATGACTGTCTGATATGCCTGAAAGTGCGCAGAAAAGGATAGCTAACGGGACGAGCACGTAGGACGGCCTTACGTAAACATATCACCAGAATGATTGACAACTAGGAGGACCACTTATTTTGATGATCCACCTGGAAATAAAAGATCATCCTCTATACCTTTAAGCTAATACGTCTTTAGTGAAGTTTTTTGATTCTTGGATTGTTCCGGCTGTTTTTACTTTATGAAAATTTAATGAGGTCTGAATCCTGCATCAAATCAGGTCAAATTTTCTGACCTCTCACCGCCACTGTGCGCAGGCAGTGTAATGAATACCATTCAGCCTGCAGGATTAATTTGGGATTAGTTTGTAAGTAGAGGTAGACCAATACATTGGCTGGCAGATGTCTTTGGCTAATATTGTTTTCTAGCATCTCGTATATTTCTTAATATGGGCAAGTATTGATTACTGCATACAGCAGCCGTGCCTTGAGATCACATGATGTTTATGCATTGCTGCTCACTTCATTTGCTCTTCATTGTAAATATTTTCTTTGATCTGTTATTAAATGATTTTTTTTCTTATTGTTTCAATCTAAACGTGTCTAACGTTTGTTATTGTATTCTTTTGCCGGTTTAAAAATCAGCAGCACATATCAGGGATCAGTTAGACTGATGTCATCTGTCTATTTGGAAGTCCATTTCAAAATGATCCGGAAACATTGGGTTCTGGTACACTTTAATCAGATTTTTATTTTTTCTGTGTAAAGTCTTCACTGTAGCCATGTTTGTTTATTGATCTCTTGTAGTCTCTGTGGAAGCGGAGCTGTTCACCCTGTATCCCGGGAAGCGCTTGGATCTGAGCTGCGTTTCCAAAGACTTGGGCCACACCGTTAACTGGACCAAAAACCACGTTGCCATCGTGGACGGAGAGCACACACGCATTCGCAAAGGCCAGCTGGAGATCGAGGCGGTGGAGCCGCCTGACTCCGGCCTGTACGCGTGCACCACCTTCGGCAACTACAGCGTCTACTTCAACGTCACAGGTAAACAGTGGGCTTTTAATGAATTTACCTGAGCTGTTTGTCTAAAACAAACCTAGAGCTGTTTGTTGGATCTAAATTTAGATGTTTATACAACATTAAAAAGCTATTTATGGAAAGTAGTGTTTGCTTTACTAAATTACCTGTAGTGAATGAAATGATCTGCTCTTTGTTAAATTAGCTTGTACTACAGTATGTTTGTCAATTACTTAACGAGCCGGGCCTTGCTGAGTGTGAGCATACAAAGCTTCAGCCAGAGATGCAACGATCGATCTTTTACTAGTTAGGTATTGATTTATGGTTTTCTTTGAGGTCTGATAGGCCGTCTTTGATTTTTAGGGATTTTATAATGTCTGCAATGGATAAAAGAGGGAAAAAAACAGTTTTCTTTGATAGATGTAGTACTTTGATTTCCATAGAAATTGAAATAATTACCAGATGAAACATGTTTTTGCCCAAAAACACTTTTATTTGATTTTCATTAGTCAAAAAATGTAAAAGGAATGTTATTTGGGGTGATTTCCATGTGATGAATAAGTCTTGTTTTTCCTGTTGAATTCACCTGTTAATGCTTAAATTGATCAGTTAATTTCTATCGTTTACTTTCTCAGAAGCTGCAGCGTGTAGAACAGTTTAAATGTTTCTACTTGGATAATAATTTGCTGCTGACAAACCTGCTGTCATGATCCTATATATTTTTTTTTATTCCTGTCGTCTAGTTGATGCCCAGGCCTCATCCGAAGATGACGATGATGAAGAAGAATCTTCATCGGAGGAAAATAAACTGTCGACCACCGAGAAGCTGATGCGTGAGTGTTCTTACATCTGTACTTTACCAAAACCTCTGCGACAACTGCTGGACGCTGACTCACCCCGAATGAGCTTCTGACTAACAGTTGCTGCTGCTCGGCGATTTCACCGCTTTATTGGTCAATTATAGGGACGCCATGCGTGTGGGTCACAGTGGTGTGGATGATTTCACTCTGAATCAGATGATCTCTAGAGCCTGTGTGACGGCTTTCACGTGAATAATCTCTCTGGTGTCCAATCGTGGTTGACCTCAGTTGTCCACCAATTTGTTTCTTGTGTAATTCAGACAGCCTGGCCGTTTGTTTTCATCACTACTGGCCACTCGGCCCACAAGGAGTCTTAGCAGCTGCCAAGCTTGAGAGGAATGCCGACCCAGTGTCGGTTCCCTCACTTATCTCCCAGTGAGATGTGAACTTCACAGCTTCACCTTACTCGCCTAGTTTCTCTTTTGTTGCGATCAAACCTTTCTAATGAGGATGCCTACTTAGAAAAAGGTAGAACTAGATGCTTTAAAGTGATTTCAATGAGATATAATCAATGAATGAATGAAAGTACACATAGAAATGACATCAAATCAGCATTTGTAATGAAGAAATGTGTTTTGTTTAATGGAAGTGTTTGAATTTGAGAATTTGATTGTATAAAATCATATTTTCTTGTATTTTAACTTTGAAAAAAAAAAATCTCTTACTGTAGTCTATCAAGAGAGCTTCATGTTTTGGATGCGTTTAAACTAAATTACCTCCTGAGTGTGGCATCAAGCTCTGCTGCTGCCTGGTAAAGAATCATTTGTTTAATTCCGCTGGTAAATTTGATAAGGGTTTCACTGCAAAAACCATCTAGAAATAAGTAAAAATTTCTTAATTAAGTGTATTCACCCTTAATTTGAGCAGGTAAATGAGCTAGTTTGCCAATGGAATGAGTAATTTTACTCTTATAAGATAATTCGATAATATGCACTTAAAATAAGTAAGTACACAGTGTGTAAGTTGTCTTGTTCCATTAGCAAAATGTCTCTTTTAACTCCTCAATTCAAGAACAAATGCACTTATTTTAAGAAAAAATGACTTATCTAGATTCAGATTTTTTGCAGTGTTCCCAAGGTAAGGGTCTTGATCCCTGAGGGGTCACAAAACACAGAATGATGGCCATGAGATGGTTCTTATAATTGGTGTGAGGTATATGGATGAATTTTTTTTTCCCCCATAAAATAAGTAGAAAATATATTTTAATTATTTAAGGCATGATTCAAATATTCTTATTTTCTTGTACACTGCAAAAACGATCTAGATATTGGTAAAAATGTCTTACATTAAATGTATTTACCCTTATATGAAACTTATATGTGAACTCCATAATTATTTGTATTTTTCTTAATTTTAATTCAATTTAACTTACCGTGATACTTTTTTGTTGCTTAATTTTAACTTAATTTAACGTAATACTTTTTTGCCCTGTAAGCTGCTGGTAACCTTAATTTCCGGAGGGAGTCTTCCCAAGGGATCAATAAAGTTCTGTCTAAGTCTTAATTTGAGTGTCTAAATAGGACGATCTGCTTGGGGAATGAGTATTTTTACTCTGGAAAAATATGATATTTAGGTAATACGCACTTGGAATAAGAGTGCCATTGTTTTTTCTTATTTTAAGTGTAAATTGTCCTGTTCCTTTGGCAAAGTTACTTATCTTCTCAATTCAAGAACATATGCACTTATTTGAAGAAAAAACAAAATTTTTCTAGTGTATACCACCTATGAGGTCATTAAATGTCCAATTAAATAACAAAAAAAAATGTGTATATTCAACAATGTAATAGTGTTCAAAGAATGAATTGAAGTACCGGTACTAATATAATTACTTCACCTCATATGGTTTCATTAATATAAAGTGAAGTGATTAGGTGTACATTTTTTAGGGGTTTCCAGTCTGTTGCAAAGTTATCTTTAGAGCTACGGGCTGAGATATTTGTGAACTAGATCCGACTCTTCACAGCAGCTCCTGAGGGCTGGAAGGGCGTCGCCTGATGCAGACTGGTTGGTAAAATGTGTAGAATATCACAGATGTCTGAAAGGTTCAGTGGTTTAAATCTTATTCTGAAAGTAACACCTACCTACTGGTTTTGTTTTGGGGACGTAAAATATCTAACTGGAAAATCTTCTTGTGTGAAATGTTTTCTATGGAAGAAATCTGGAGCCATGATTAGTTTTAGTCGCAGCTCTTTCTCTTTTCTGTGAATTTTCATTCATTTTCACTGCAAAAAAATGTAATCTAAGGCCCCGTCCACACGAAGTCAAAACGAACACGAAACGCTGATATTTTCCAAAA